AAAAAAAGCCAAAACTACTTGGAGCCAGGTATCAGTATCCCAAGCCTATAATCGTAGCAACTTGGGAGGCTGAGCTCTGAGGATCTCATTCAAAGCAGACAAATTTGAGAGACTCTTCTTTCCAATTAGCCAGCACAAAGGCCAAAAGAAGAGGTATGGTTCAAGTGGTAAAACACCAGCTTTGAGCAAAAAGGACAAGTGAGAGCACAGGCCCTAAGTTCAAGCCGCAGGACTGACACAAAACCAAAGACAAATTCAAAAGAAAGAAGAAAAGAAATCCCAACTTGGAGGCTGGGGCTGGTGGCATGGTGCTAAGTGCTTGTCTAGCAAGCATGAGGCCCTGAGTTCACCCATGAACCATGAATGTGGCATAGTTATTTATTTTGCAGGGCTGGGGATGAAACCCAGAGCCTCAGGTGTGCTCGGCAAGCACTCCATCACTGAGCTGTACCCCAGCCCTTGAACCAAGAATTTGGGACCTGAGTGTCCTGGCTTACCTGGTCAGTACTGTCACTAGATGCCCAGCACCTGAGGCCAGAGCCTCAGAGGTCTTCAACAAGACTAAACAGACAGGACCTGGGATTGTAGGTGGTGAGAAGCTCAGCCTCAGTCCCTTGGGTTGATGATGGTCAGCCAAGACCACATCTTGCAGGCCAGGGTCCACATGCTTAACAGACAGCCCACCACGGAGTCCTCAGAGGGCCCACAACCCCCACCCCACCCCAGGACTGAAGACACACAGACTCAAGATTGACACGTCCAGGCAGATTGACACAGTTCTGGGTTTTATCCACAGTCATACAGTCACAACTGATATATAGATATATATATTTGTATTTATATACCTTTAAATTACACAATCATGTACAAAACAGGTGCATTGCTGAGAGCACAGCACTTCTCGGAGTTTCACAAGTGGAGGACTAATGGAATCAGGAAGCCGAGGGTGGCGGACGGCGGTGGCGGGTGGCAGGGCAGCTCTGGCTCCTGGCACAACCAGGCTGCGGAATGGTGGTTAACTGAAACACATTACTGGCTGAGCCCCGCCAGGGCGGCCCGTGCAGCATCAAGGGGGCAGCGGGCTGGGGCTCCTGGACGAGGTGTGGGCACAGCAAGGCGCCTGGCCCCGTGCTCGCTGTGGGCGCCCTGACGCCAGCGCTGACAGGTGGCGCCAGGCCCCAGGCTCAGGAGACTTACAGGTAGGAGACCCTCCCAAGTTGGGGTCCTAAGGAGCTTGGGGACCCGGGGGGGATGAGGAGAGAGAGAGAGAGAGAGAGAGAGAGAATCCCAAACGGAGCTATGGAGATTGCTGCTCCAAAGGGGATACGTTTTCCAGTCCCTGCCCTGCAGTGGGCAGCCAGGGTGCTGAGAGGGACAGGCCTGGGGTCCAGCCAGGGTCACAGCCCCTACCCAGGTACTGGGAAGCCGGTAGCACAGAAAGGGGGAGCCCAGGCCCCAAGGTGCAAGTGTGGCGGCTTCTTGCTTTTCAGGCTCCCGCTGCCTTCTGCCTGGGGGGAAAGCAGGAGCTGTGGGACGGGTGATTGTGGCCTTCAAATTTTGGCTTCAGGCTCTGAGGGGCCCAAGGCCCATATCTCAGACTGCAGCAGAGAGGCCCAGAGATCAGACAGTGATTAAGAAAGGGGTGCTGGCTGCTGGGGGTGCTCGCCTGTCCCTGGAGTGGCTCCAGTCTAGGTGCCCAGGCTTGTAGCCCTCTGCCAGGGCTGCCAGGACTGTAAGAACCCCCAGGAAGCAGAGCAGAGCTGGGCTCTACTACTTCCTAACCGAAGGTGGAGAGGCTGGGGTAGCACACTCTATCTGGAGGCCGAGGCCACCGGGGGGTGAGAGGGGAGGGCATGGATGCTGCAGCCCAGAAGCCAAACAGTGGCAAATTCCTGCGGGCAGACTTCTCAGGTTCAGGCCCCAGAGGTCTCCAAGAAACTGCTCCTGCGGTCTCTTGTTTACCACTTGGGGTCTTATCCCTCCCTCAGTCTGCCTTCCAATCCCAATCTACACCCAAGGAGAGCTGCTACCTAGTACTCTGGTGTCACTGCTCTTGACAACCAAAGGACCTCTCCTACCCCAGGGGCTTTTAACTGAGACCCAGGCTTGGGGAGATGGGGAGCAAAAGGAATGTTGGTGGTGGTGGAGTAACAAGGAAGATGTGGAAACCATCTTGCTTCGGAGGGCCAGATCTCCTTTCTGCCAATCCCAGCTTCAGGCTTCCCCTGATGGACCCAGCCTGGAAGCTCCCATGAGCCCTCCATCTCCCAAGCAGACTTGGAGGGTGTGGAAGGGATGTTTAGGCCAAGAGTTATGCAGGCACAAGCCATGGTTTCACGGAGGATGCTAAACCCAGTGAGTCTATAGTAGAGGGTAGATGGGTGGGCAGGAGGCCTCCTCCCCAGGAAATGGGAGGAGGCTGCTACTGTTGCTGGCTTTGC